GCCTATGGTTTATCCTATAAGGGTACATGTGAATCTCTCTAAATGTAGAATATAAATCTCTTAACACAATAACTAAGAAAATGACATAAAGGCTATGTTATGAAAGTATTTCAAATTGTATATAGAAATAGCACTCTGTACCCCATGATAGCATTAATGCACACAGATATGATTTTTAAAAAAAGCACTGTCATGTAGAATTGAGAGTTGGCAAGTAACTATTTTAATGTACAGTTTTTAATGTTATTTTCCATATATTACCTTTTAAACTAAATCGAGCATTTTATATATATTTTTTGTATTTTAGCAAACATTTGATATAGTGAATTCTGCATATTCTACTCCTATCTCCCTCATCTAGTTCTTGTTCCTTCTTTAATCAATAAGGAATATTCTCTTGCTCTCTATGACCTTGTGATCACTTGCTTTCTTTGCTTCTCTTTTCTCTGTATTTATGAATCTACGTCTTTTTTCTGTATCATTTGAAAGCCATCTCTTTGCCTTTCCAGTGGGAAGAATCTTCTCCACTAGATTCAACTGACAATATTTCAACCTATCCTTTACTGAGGGTAAAAGTTCTTATGTGAAGCTTCAAGTTATTTCAATAGGAGATTCGATATTAATATACCTACTGCACTTGCTAAATATTTCCCCTAATAAGGTTTTCTTGTCATGCATTGCCTTCATTTTTAAGACTATCTCTTTTAGATGACTTTTCTTTGAACAAATTCAGTTTGGTGTTGCCTTGTTTTCTTTGTACATTTTTTTTTATTTATATTAAATGAAAGTATGCAGCAGCTTGATGAGGGATAACAATATGCAAAGAAGTTGGTGTCATTATACATGCAGGAGGAAAGAGGTAGCCACTCACACTACCATATTCAGTGTTTTAATGGTTTTAACTACTAGTATTGACAAGAAGAATATCAGCCTTCATTGTGAAGTAATAGGTTTGGATGGGTGGAGAGAGGAATTTTATAACACCAATATTTGCTTTCCCTCCAGCAAGACTCACTCTCCTTCCCTGTAGCTTAGTCTCTTAAATCTATACTGGATTACTGAAATAGATTTTGGGAACTGAGATGATAATGCCTGTAAATGGGTAACTTGTGAACATATCTCTGACAGCAAGTCTATGTCAAGCATTTGCTTCTGTGTCTTAGTTTACAAAGGAATGGGTAAAGGGGAGCATTTAGACTCAGCGGCAAACATGGGTTAAGTGGCATGTAGGGTCAAAATGACTGTTCAGGTGCTTTACTATTTTTAGCATTTGTCTTGACATACACAAGTAGAAAGTTGGATTTGTGCTCCCTTTCCTCATAGGAAATGGATTTATTGGACTGACTTGCATGAATCAAATAACATAGCATGTTATTTATTATCCATAGATGGAAATCATCTCTAAGAAGGAATAACATAAACACTTTCAAGATATATAATAAGTAGAAAGGTAAGAGTACTAGCAACCAGGGAAACAGATAAATTTCCAGCTAAATTTTAGCCAAGAAGTAAAACATCAAAGTTTACAATAGAATATCACTGGTATTTTTAGGGCAAAACTGATCTTTACTTTTTCAGCCTACTCAACAATTCTTTACCTATGTGTGCTTACACTTTAATCAATCTTTCTAACATTTACATTTAACACATTTAACATGTACACAGTTAATGCATATTTTAATTAATTTTATCTGGTGAAAGCTCTAGAGAAAGGAGATGAAAGTAAATCACGCATCACCCAAAAGCTAGTTCTCTAAGTATGGTCTGCCACTTTAACTCTGGAAATAGGAGAAAATAGCATTTTCTACTGAAAAAATTATTTTACACAAAATGTATGACAATGTTTAAAATGAATTTATTCATGGAATTTCCATTTGTAACTGCTATCGTCCCCAAATTATTTCCCAAATTAGGAGTCCAAAATTATGTTTTATAATTTTGCATGTGAACCTCAAGATAATTTGGCAAACTGTGAGTAAATCAAGATTGAGGTTTCAAAAGTTCATTTTGTAAGATTCTGTTCTAAATCCAGTGAGCTATTGTGTGTCAAATGTGATCTAATTCTGTCTCATTTGCTTTGCCATAGACATTTGACAGAAGAAAGGTTCTTGGAGGAGCTAAGTAAAATTATTGGAGGAAGGTGTTAGTGTTCTTTTAAGGTAAAGCTATGGCCAAGCTGTAGGAAAAACCGAGGCATTAGATACAAAGGAAGATTGAGGCAGCAAAAAGCATAAAAGGAGAAGGAGAGGAGGAAAAATGGGTGGGAGGAGGCATAGAGAAAAAATAGATACTCCCTGTTACTTGTAAGCAGACTTCCCAGGTCTTTAGCACCTTAACTTGTTGGGGAACTCTTCCTTTTTTCTTGTTGGAAACAAAGGGCTTATTTACATTTAGATTTTTTTTTCCTGGTGATTACCTGCCTAGACATTTCGTAGTGCCATTTCTTACATTCACCTTCTGCTAACCTGACTGTACAGCCTTGCAACTGCCCTTCCAGACCCATAATGTCCTCTTATCCTTTCTACTTTTAAGCGTCCAGAATTTTATTTCAAAAAAGGAATTAGTGAGCATCCCAGTCTTCCCAAGAGCGAAGATCAGAATAATAACTGACAAGACTCAGTATGTTTTAGAGAGGTCAACATATAAGTTCAAATCTCTGTTGTCTTATTACTTTTACACTCTTGCCAACTTTTCAACAATTTAACAGAAAAAAAAATTAAAATTAACTTTAAAGTTGTTTGGAAATAAAAGAATAGCTGCTTCTAGCTAATGCTGAAAGAGAATGAAATAACTTCAAGTATCTTAAAATTAATATTGAGAAAGTTTGGCAATATTTTAAAGGACTATTAAAATGAGTCTCCTACAGTGTAGATCTATAGAAGTATGTGACAGGATTTGAAGCAGCTTAGGAGGGACTAATATATTCATATTAAACTCTTTAAGTAGGATTTCTTTTTGTTTTGCAAATCAGCTTAATTGCCATAGGAAAGAAGCAAAAAGCCACAACTTGCATGTCAAAGTACTTAATTCACATGGTCACCCAAGGACACAATTGTGTAATTACTCTGCTCTCTAAGAAACTAGAATATTTTCTTCTAAATTTACTATGAATTCAATATGGCAATGTGGCCAACCTTTCCCTCATAAAATTATCCATTTTCTGAATGTTGGAGAATAAAGGGAAAAACTGAAGTCTTTTGGAAAATCTTGTGCTAAGTAAATGTAACTTCCCATAATTCTTCCATAAATGAGTTCTCATTGACAGAATCTGTTCCAGGCATCCTCAAACTATCGCCAGCGGGGTCACATGCTGCTGGCCAGGGACATTTATCCAGCCCACAGGGTGTTTTTGCCTCTGCTGCCTGTCCTGCTTAGCAGCCGACTTGTCCCAGGCCACAGTCTGGCCCTCCAACGGTCTGAGAGACAGTGAATTGGCCCCCTGTTTAAAAAGGTTAAGGACCCTGATCTATTCAAATTGGGAAGATTGGCATCACTGCATTTTATTATGGGCATGTATCTTAGCAAGTAAAAATAGGGGTACAGTTCTTCAGGGATTTATACGCCTGGGGCATGAGAGGTGTAAGCAGCGGTGCCCAGAAACAGACTGGAGTGGAGTTGTTCAGGCCAGGTTTATTGAAAGGGACAGTAACCAGCCTGGGCAATGCAAAGAGGGTAACTGTAACTGGGGGCAGTTACAGACCCCTTTTATATGAGGCTATAGGAGATGGGAAAATTCTACAGATTGCCGTTTGCCAGGAGGGCTTTGGTGAGTTAGGGTCCTTGGAACTAACCAGGTTCTTTGCATCTTTTGTCTTTGGGAGTGTGTGTGTAAGCCCACTTTAGGCCTCCCAACAGGATAGGGTTAGGGTTGTTGGATTTGTCAAATAGAATTGTGCAATGACCAGTTAAATTTCAATTTCACAGTAAACCACCTCCTTTTAGTATATGTCCCAAACACTACATGAGACATGCTTATACTATTGTTTTCATCTGAAATTCAAGTTTTATTGAGCATCTGCATTTTATCTGGCAACCCCGGGTAGGTCTCTCCAAAGGCTAAAATATTATTATTATTATTTTACCTTTAGCTGCAGTTTTTTAAACAATAACTCTGGCTGTTTAATTTGTGAGGTCCTTTTTTTTTTTTTATTTTTCTGCATGTGATTTCCTTCCCTCTAGATGGGGCTGGGATTTCTTTCCTTGAAATAATAATCTTCTAATACCAGTGGTAAAAACTGATACTATGCCAGAATATGCATAGTTTTCCTTCCTGATATGTAGCTATTAGAGCATCTATTAACTAAGAAAAGGATCAGTTAATGACGTTTAGTGGAACCCAGTGCTTCTAAAATGTAATTTTCCACTCTAGAAAATCATGTGCATTGGGTGGTGCCTATGGCTCAAAGGAGAGGGCATCAGCCCCAGCCAAAAACTGCAAAAAGAAAAATGTGTGCATTTACATTTCAATTACATATAGTTTATATATATAGTTTTTGACTTAAAACAAATCCTTTTCAAATACTATGTGTATGTAGTTTATATACATATGCCCTGGTTGTTTCTGCTGTCATATTTGCTGAAAAACTAGGATGATCCCATCTATTTTATGTTATTGTATAAAATTAGAATTGCTTTGTGATTACTATGCAATGAAGTTTTAAATTTTCACATTAATTTTATGAAGACTATAGTTTTAAAGTTAGACATCAAGTAAGTTTGTATGCTGATTCTTAAAATGAATATGAATCAGATGAAATACAATGGCAACCCAATTTGTTCCCTTTTCCTATTCAGTCATGATTTTGATTCTTTCTCAAATTAATGAAGTCCAGAAGAGGAAAGGAGGAGATAACAATAAGGGATATAAGTCTTGTTGGTATGCATTTTATAATTTTCTAAATGAATTTTCATTCCTGTGATAAAAAGATATTTGTTACACACTTATTACATCCCAAACACTTAGTGTATATTGCAAATTTATGTCTGTAAGTCTTTTCCAATATCTCAGTAGTAATTTAGGTACAAGATGTCACACATCTATGAGTCTGTTTATGGTAGATTATGAAGTGTTAACAACATTCCTTCATCATGGAAAAAAATAGTTTGTAAAGAATTAAGCAAAGTAATCAAGAATTGGAATGAATGAAAATTATTTTAGTAATTCAACATTTCTGCTATGAATATTTTTTCTAGTAAATTAGAAAACTGGCTTTAGATCTACCTGGTATACAGATAGATGCCTATTATCATGGGACATTAATGATACATAAAGATACCTAATATCTTTCTCTCTGGAAGGCCATGAGTACTATAATTCTTTCTGCTACAAATAGAGTTAAAGGTTATAGAATATTGCTGTTACAGATTCTATAATCTGGTGAAAACACTTTATTTTTCCGAGGAGGTAAATGGAGCCCTGATAATGGGAATTTTCTGTCCTTACTAAAAATTTAGATTAAGACTAATAGGTAAAGTCCAAGGCAGAAGCTGGAGGGAAGAAGGTGGATTCCAATTAAGAGTGGGAGAAACAATCACCCATTAGGATTAGTTGGTAGAGTCTAAGGCAGAAGTGAAGAAGGGTGATACCAACTGCAACTAAACCAGTCAACCATTAGGAGTAGTTGGTATATTCTAAGACAGGTGGGAGACAAAGGGTGATACCAACTGAGACTAGGACAAGCAATCACCCATGAAGAGTAGTCACTACAGTCCAAGGCAGAAGATGGAGGAAGAAGGAAGGGCACTATTAAGTGAGACTAGGATTAACCAATGACCCATTAGGAGGAGTTGGTAGATTCCAAAGCTGAAGGGGGTGGAACAAGTGGGTGATACAAACTGAGACTAGGATAACCAATCACCAATTAGGAGTAGTTGGTAGTGTCCAAGGCAGAAGCAGGGGAAGAAGGGTGATATCAACTGAGAGAAAACCAATCACCCATTAAAAGTAGTTGGTAGCATTCAAGGCAGAACCGGGGAGAAAGAAGCTGATACCAAATAAGACTAGGACAACCAATCACCCATTAGGAGTAGTTAGTAGAGTCCAAGGCAGAAGGTGGGGGGAGAAGGGTGATACCAACTGACATTAGGACAACCAATCATCTATTAGGTGCAGTAGGTAAAGTCCAAGGCAGCAGCTGGGGGGAAGAAAGGGGATACCAGCTGAGACTAGGACAAACAATCATCCATTAGGATTAGTTGGTAGAGTCTAAGAAGTGAAGAAGAGATACCAACTGAGACTAAACCAATCACCCATTAAGAGTAGTTGGTATATTCCAAAGCAGGTGGGGGACCAAGGGTGATACCAAATCAACCATGAAGAATACTTGGTACAGTCCAAGCCAGAAGAGACAGGAGAAAGGGTGGTATTAACTGAGATTAGGATAACCAATCACCCATTAGGAGTACTTGTTAGATTCCAACCCAGAAGGGAATTGAACAAAGTGTGATACCAACTAAGACTAGGAAAACTGATCACTCGTTAAGAGTAGTTGGTACAGTCCAAGGCAGAAGGGGGCAGGGAAAGAGGGGTGATATTAACTGAGACTAGGACAACCAGTCACCAATTGGGAGGAGTTGGTAGACTCCAAAGAAGAAGGGGGAGGAAAAAAGGGTGTTAGCAGTGGAGACTAGGACTACCAATCACCAATTAGGAGTAGTTGGTAGTGTCCAAGGCAGAAGCAGGGGAAGAAGGGTGATACTGAGATAAAACCAATCACCCATTAAAAGTAGTTGGTAGCACCCAAGGCACAATTCGGGGTGGAGAAGCACGATACCAACTAAGGCTAAGACAACCAATCACCCATTAGGAGTAGTTAGTGGAGTCCAAGACAGAAGGTGTGTGTGGGGGGGGAGAAGGGTGATACCAACTGACATTAGGACAATGAATCATCTATTAGGTGTAGTAGGTAATGTCCAAGGCAGAAAGGGGGGGGAGGCGGAGAAAGGGGATATCAATTGAGACTATGACAAACAATCATCCACTAGGATTAGTTAGTAGACTCTAAGGCAGAAGTAAAGAAGGGTGATACCAACTGCGACTAAACCAATCAACCATTAGGGGAGGTGGGGAAGATGAAGGGTTATACCAACTAAGACTAGGACAAGCAATCACCCATGAAGAGTAGTTGGTGCAGTCTAAGGAAGAAGAGGGAGGAAGAAGGGTGGTATTAACTGAGTGTAGGATAACCAATGACCCATTAGGACTAGTTGGTAGATTCCAAAGAAGAAGGGGGTGGAGCAAAGGGTGATATCAACCGAGAAGAAGACAACCAATTACCAAGTAAGAGTATTTGATACAGTCTAAGGCAAAAGGGGACAGGGGAAAAAGGATGATAATAAGTGAGACTAGGACAGCCAATCACCCATTAGTAGTAGTTGGTGGTCTCCAAGGCAAAAGGCGGAGGAAATCTAAAAACAGAAATCCTGAGTTAGCTTCTGTTCTTATACACAGCAAAGGCGCCAGCAGAGGGAGTTGATGAAAGCTCTACAGCAACAGCAACAGCAGCAGCAGCAAAACTCTCAGGTTGGGGCAATGTCAGCAAGCCTGCAGGTACCACAAAATCTCTTCTGGAGATCCAGCAGGAGGAGGCCAGGCAGATGCAAAAGCAGCAGCAGCAGCAGCACCAGCAACCAAACAGAGCCCCAAATAATATGCATTCCAACCTGCACACCAGCATTGGGAATTCTGTTTGGGGCTCTATAAATACTGGTCCTCCTAACCAGTGGACATCTGACCTAGTCAGTAGTATTTGGAGTAATGCTGACACTAAAAACTCTAACATGAGATTCTGGGATGATGCAGTGAAAGAGATGAGACCTAGGAATTCAACAAATAAAAATAAAAACGCCAGTCTCAGTAAATCTACAGGTGTGTCTAACCGGCAGAATAAGAAAGTAGTAGAAGAAGAAAAGTTGCTGAAGCTCTTTCAGGGAGTAAATAAAGCCCACGACAGATTTACCCAGTGGTGTGAACAGATGCTTCATGCCCTTAATATGGCAAATAACCTGGATGTTCCCACATTTGTTTCTTTCCTAAAAGAAGTAGAATCTCCGTATGACGTCCACGATTATATTAGGGCCTACTTAGGAGATACTTCTGAGGCTAAGGAGTTTGCCAAGCAGTTCCTTGAGCGTCGTGCCAAACAGAAAGCTAACCACCAACAGCAGCAGCAGCAGGACTCTGTGTGGGGGATGAATCACAGTACACTCCATTCAGTATTTCAGACCAATCAAAGCAACAACCAACAATCCAATTTTGAGGCTGTGCAAAGTGGCAAGAAGAAGAAAAAACAGAAGATGGTCCGAGCAGATCCCAGTTTGTTAGGATTTTCAGTCAATGCATCATCGGAGCAACTCAATATGGGTGAAATTGAAACTTTGGATGACTACCGAGCACCTGCAAGTGGACTGGCCTTCCCTCTCCTGTCTGCTGACTATGGAGTCTCCAATTTTGGACACAACACTTATTCACCATTTACTCTTTATCACTCTGCAATAAATCACAGAACCGATCATCTCAGGCTTTTTCTTCTAGCCCATTATGTCCAAGATTCTTTAAACTGTTTTTGTTGGTGAACATCTCAGACTGTAGACAAGTGGACTGGACCTGTGCCTTGGCGGTGGCAGTTGGGATTACTCCCCAACAAGGCTGATTTGGGGCAGTACGTGTTCACTGTGCCATGATTTCATCTGTTATCTCCCAGAAAGTGTGTTGGGATCTGCCAAGAGCAGCTTTCTTTCTCTTGTCAAAAAAAAAGAGGGGGAAGAAAAAGGGTGTTAGCAGTGGAGACTAGGATAACAAATTATCAATTAGGAGTAGCTGGGTAGTGTCCAAGGCAGAAGCCGGTGAAGAAGGGTGATACCAACTGAGACTAAACCAATCACCCATTGAAAGTAGTTGGTAGCATTACTCAACCTTTTTCAAAATGTAGAAAAAAAGAAATACTACCTAACACATTCTATGAAGGAAACATCACCTTGATTCTGAAACCAGAAAAAGATTCAACAAGAAAGGAAAATTATAGACCAATATCAGTAACAAATATTGATACAAAAATATTCAAGAATATCCTAAAAAACAGAATCCAGCAATACATCAAACAAATTATACACCATGACCAAGTGGGTTTTATCCCAGGGTCTCAGGGCTGGTTCAATATACATAAATCTATAAATATAATTCAACACATAAACAAATTAAAAAACAAAGACCATATGATTCTCTCACTTAATGCAGAAAAAGCTTTTGGTAATATCCAGCATCCCTTCATGATCAGAACACTTAAGAAAATTGGTATAGAAGAGACATTTCTTAAAATGATTGAAGCCATCTACAACAAACCCATAGCCAACATCGTATTGAATGGAGTTAAGATGAAATCATTTCCACTCAGATCAGGAAACAGGCAAGGTTGCCCACTGTCTCCACTGGTCTTTAACATTGTAATGGAAGTTTTAGCCATCAAAATTAGGGAAGGAAAGGCGATCAAGGGTATCCATATAGGGTCAGAAGAGATCACACTTTCACTCTTCACAGATGATATGATTGTATATCTGGAAAACACGAGGGATTCTACTACAAAACTCTTAGAAATGATCAAGGAATACAGCAGTGTCTCAGGTTACAAAATCAACAATCATAAATTGGTAGCCTTTATATACACCAAGAATAGTCAAGCTGAGAAAAGAGTCAAGGATTCTATTCCATTCACAGTAGTGATAAAGAAGATGAAATATTTGGAAGTTTACTTAAAAAGGATGCAAAAGTTCTCTATAAAGAGAACTATGAAACTATAAGAAAAGAAATAGCTAAAAATGTTAACAAATACAAAAACATACCATGTTCATGGCTGAGAAGAATCAACATTGTTAAAATGTCCATACTACCCAAAGCAATATTCAATTTTAATGCAATCCCTGTTAAAGCTCCAATCTTATACTTTAAAGATCTCAAAAAAAATTGTACTTCAGGGCCGCGCCTGGGGCTCAAAGGGATAAGGCACCAGCTCCATATGCCGGAGTTAGTGTGTTCAAAGCCAAAAA